TTTTTATTTATTATTGTGTTGGCTTTATTTACACGAGGTATAATGTATATTAAATAAGGATAAGGTTGAAAAATTGTTGAATTTTAAATCAGAGTTAATAAAGTTTAAGGTTTCCCTTAGTATATATAAAACATGTTGAAAATAACTTATAAATAGGATCAGAAGAGTAATTTAAAAAACATAAATAAAAGAAAACTTATGGGTTACAAACGTGAACAACAAAAATTATCTAGTGTATATATGCCGCTCTATTGAATCCTGCCTAAGTAAGCCAGGGTGTGAAAAATTGAAGAATTGTTTTTCAATACAGCTGATATTTAGCACCCTTAGTCTTACTGTGCAAATCCAACTAAAAACAGCCCAAAGATCGTAGAAGAGGAAGGGAATTGGATTCTCTCCACTACCCTTCCCATCCTTTTCCCTTCCACCACTTTTTTTTTTTCTCTTTACAATCATTCGATCAAAACTCCAATAGTTCAGATTTAATATTTTATAACATTTTATAAAAATAAATATTATGATAAAAAATAGATAAATAAATTTAAAATGTTAAAATCTAATTTGAACAGTTCATAACTACAGACTGTTATTATAGAGCAATTTTTTTTTATTTTTTTTTATTATAATTGTAAACTGTTCAAACCAGATTTTAACAATTTAAATTTATTTATTTATTTATTTTTAATAACATTATTTTTAGAAGATGTTAAATCTGGACCATTGGAATTTTGATCCAATAGTTGTGAAGAGATAAAAAAGGTAGTGGAGGGGAAGAGGATGGGAAGGTAGTGAAGAGAATCCAAGTCCGGAAGGAAGGGCGGGCCATGATGTGCATATCTTCTGTTCCATTTAAAATGTTATAATACAATAATAAGAGTTGAGTTTAGCATAAATGACTGATGCTTTACAATGTTGTGAATTAAAGTTTGAAAGCCTGCTGAAAGAAGTGTCCACATTTTAGTACCTAACAATGTTTTGAATAAGATTGTTTTTGACAGGAGGATACCTGCTATATCGAGCAAAATAATGCTCACTATAATAGAAAATTTTGTTTTATTTTATTTTATACAATTTAAACGTGCGCTCACGTGCCATGTTGGAATTTAGAGCATCATCCAAGCATAGTTAGTGGCCTTGTGGTTAGAGCAACTTCCCGTACACAAACAGAAAACCTCTTAAGCAAATAAAATGATGACAAAAAAAATTGTATCCAACTTTCTAGAGAACCATTATTGGAATCTTGGGGTATGTCGAAATAGCGTATGGTAACTTTACTTGATTAATGAAGGTTAGGTTCGTGAACGAAAGGGAACCAGTAATTTCACACTTCAATCAAATCATATTCACCAGGACAATGATACCTTCTAAGTGCAAGTTTAAGCCAGAAATATTCAGGTTAAAAAAAGAAGCCAGAAATAGAATCTGTGATAGTTGAAATCACGCAGCCTAATTGAAAAACACCCGAACCAAAGAATAAAAACATGCTCCAACTTTTCCTCCTTACTATGACCAAATGCGCCAAAGCCAGAATAACTTAAATGGTTTAAGGTTTCTCCCTATAAAATATCATTAGATGGATCAGCCTAGGGCAATGGATTTCGCGAGTACATTCCATACTCGTTAAAAAACTAAGCATGAAATACTCATTTTAATTTAGACAATTCAGATTGATTTTGAATAATCCAAATTCAATTGGAATAGTTTTTATATTTTAATAATTTTTACTAGACACATAATTTAAAATAATTTCAAAATAGACACTTTTTAAAAAATACATTTATCATTAAAAAATTTTAAATTTGAACTATTCAAATCATATTGAATGATCCGAATTTCACTATAATGATAAAAAGTTTTAAATGGTATCTATTGCATCAGTTTTTTTGGGTAATATTTATTGCATCTATTTTGATACCAACAGTAAAAATTCTAATATTAACGATGCTGTTGGACCTCTGGTCACGCCAAAAGCACGGTCAATCTAGCAAAAATACGAGAGTGCGATAATGAAAAATTTCAGAGCATTTTGGGGTCAAACTCGGAGATATTACCCTTTTAAGAAAAATGAATTAAATAAATAAATAATTTAATGAAAATAAGCAAAATATGAAAAATAAAAGCAACGGTCAGTAGTTTGTCTAAGAAAAACACAATTATTTTTGCCAACCTAAGAAATTCACAATTACGTGAAACTCTTCAGGTTATTAAGTTCTACTTTTTGGGGAAAAAAATTTATTACTTATGTATAACAGTTCCTATTAAACAAATTAAAATGCTCACAACCTACATGGAAATAATATAAAAGTTAATATAATTTTAAATCCCTGAAATTTGAAAGTTGAAACAAGTATTTGTTGTTTTTAATATTTACTCCTCTCGTCCTTAATATAATACCTATTTAACTAATTTGATTAAATTAAGAAAGTTAGGAAAGTTAGTTAATTATAAGAAAAGTGACACATTTTTCCTAAAATATCATAATCATCTTTCTTAATACCTCCTCTTCTTTTTCTACTTAATTATGGTTGATGGAGTATCTATAGGAGTAATTTAGAGAAAACTGACAAAATATGAGAAATTGGTCTTATATTTAGGATCAAAACTAACTCAAAAATTACGTCCTATATTAAGAACCGGAAGAGTACTTTGTTTATAAAAGTTAATCTCTCTTAGTTAAATATGTTTTCAAATTTTAAGAACAAAAAATAATGGTCTCAAATTTTGAAAACTAAAATCAAAATAAATTCTAAATTTCAAAATTGAAGTTTGTAACAAGAACCTATAATAAAATTACGCAAATTAAATATGGGATGTTTAAGTTTACTCCGAATCATTTTAATGTATGAATATTCAATTCAGTAAAATTGACCGGAAAATAGGAGTGTTTTATAAAATCAAAATATTTATTAAACTAAATACATACATTTTTCGGTCGAAATTGAAAAGAATCCATTAAAACTGAATCATCATCAAACATGACATTTCAGTTTTCACTTTCTTTAACCAAAAACGAACTGCAATTTTGTTTCTTCTGAAATCTTTTCGATAGAAAGATTTTTTTTCCTTGAAATTAAATGAAACTAGCATAATAACAGAATAAATAAATTTTGGCTTTGTATTAGCTGAAAGAAAAGATTCTGTTGGGAGGAAAAAGAATCTCCAATACATGCATACATACGTGTGTGTGTGTGATATGAAATTGCATCATACATTCAAAAAAAATTACATGGTGCCGCTATATGAGAACAAACCTCTTTCATCCTCCTCCGCCTGCAAGTACCAAGGTGGAGGATGATCAAAGATGTTATGACAAATATGCATTGCGCGTAATTTTGCAAGAGCACGTATCTGCACATCTAACAACTCCCATGCGTGGAATTGAACGTAACAATTTATGCCCATAAGCGTCCTGGCTTCCCTCCATGATTTGTGCCTTTTGAACCAACTTAGAAAAGCCCAAAGGATGAATTATTCAACATTGGCGATTTCAAGTTACCTCAGTCACCCGTAAAATCTTGAGAATGGAAATGAATTGTTCCGGAGAAGTTATTCACTCACTCATTCGAGCCTAGCTTGTCTGCACTGACATGGCTTCAAATTTTGGCTACGTTTAGGTGTTATGGGATTCATGATTTCAAGCTGTCTCTGAACTCTAAGGTCTCGTACTTATTAGGCAGTGCAACCCTTTGTCTTTCTCATTTCGTGGAAAAGCTTCATATATAATTTGTCAAAGGTAATCAATCACTGTATTTTCCAGCTCTTCAGTTTCTAGAACTGATTTTTCTTTCTCATTACTCAAAAACTGTCAGCGTACAGCATCAGCACCTGTAAAATTACAGAATGTCCGGACCAAGTATAAAATCAGGGGCTCTCTGAGCTGTCGTTATTTGCCGATTTTTTTTTTTCCCTGCTGGTGAACCATTCATGGTGTGATTGTAAGAATGAGGACAGTTTATCATGTTGCCCCACTATAAAAATATATTTGCTGTATTTTGTCTATTTTTCACTTTTTTACTGAGAGAAGATTCACAGTTATATATACATCTCAAAATTGGAATTACCTGAATGGCTGCCGAGGCAATTCTATATAACCTGACATCAGTACTATCATCCTGAAGGATGGCTAGGTAAAACTGTGTTAAAAAGTGAGTTCGAAAAAAAATTATGCGTAATGGTCAAATGAATGGATAAGCGGGCTAGATTTTTTTTTTTTTTTTTTTGGGGACTGAAGGGTGGCAAGAATTACCCTTGTAGCCTGCATTCTTGCAACGTATGCATTCATAAAAGGATCCATGGCGTCACTTGCTGAACAAGTTTGAGCCAGAGACTCAACAACACCTAGTCCAATCAAAGAATCTTGACATTCAACGACCCAACTCATCACCTATTTGATAAATTGGGAAGTTATGACACCTAAAATTACACTGAAACTGAAGAAGCGAAGATCAACGAATTGCCAAGAAAAGGAAAATGTTATACGATAACTGTTTGTTACTTCAATGAAATGATGTAATGGAGAAAGATGAGTCAGTTTTAGCTAAATTTACATCTCTAAAAGCTAGAAAATTTTGCAACCTCATAATATTTGAAACTAACAACAGCTGAACAGCAAGAAAACCATAACTTCCAATAAGACATGGATGGCTCAACATCAACAAGATAATGCCCAAGTTACAAGCTTTTGCCTTCTTTTTTTTAATCCTTTTTCCCTTTATCAGCACTTCTAAAAAGCTCATGAAGAAATCTGTATGAAGAGCATCATGAAAGCAATTTGTGTAAATAACAACCTTATTCTCCGTAATATGTATGTATGTTTGTATGTATGTAAGTAACAGCCACACTTAATTGGAAATGGAATTTTTACAACTTTCCGAACAAAACTACCTTTATAATGCTTTGGTCAAAAGGTGACCATAGAGCTTGCAAATGCATGAATACTCAGCGAGTGCATAACGTACCTCATCAATGAAGTTCCTCTTGGGTCTCGGAATGATCAATTTTCACAGAGCGCTCATGGTTTCATAACAACAACTCTCCATTTTTGAGCAATCCTTAATAGTTATTTCCCGGCAAGACGGCATCTCAAACTGGTAATTACTCGAGCAGAAACATTTAAGGTTGGGAAGACGAAAAAGGGTCAGCCACTTCAGTTCTGGGAATACAATCTTCTTGGCCTTGTTGCACTCTCCTTCCTCTGTTCTGACTATCTCCTCTATCATCTCACATTCATAAACTGATAGCTCTTGCAGTTGCGCAAGGGTCCTGGCTATGGAAGGAGGGAACACACTTCTTAGACCATCACAACACCCGATGTTTAGCTTTCTAAGATTATGAAAACCTAAAACTACGTCACCATGGTTTTTCCATATGTGCATTAGTTTGGGTAGAGAGCACAAATGCATTTCTTGTAGATTATATTCATACAATGTCATAGCATTAGCATGCTCTTTATCTTCATTTGCTTCTACTCCTTCTGATTCAAATATCTCCACCAGTGAACAACATTCTCGGACCTTGAGCTGTTTCAAATGTTGCAGCCTATGTAGCATGTTGGATGGAACACAGTTCAACAGCTTCTCGCAACCTTCAACAACCAGTTCTGTTACTCTTGTTATGTAGCCAAGTAGGATTTTATCTTGCTCAATCCAATTGATTGTCTTTGATCTTTGAAATGCTGCCTGAAATGGAAAGATCTTGTCATGTTGATGAGAAAGCCTAAGATTCTTCAATTTAAAGAAGCATTCTCTAATGTTTTTACTTACTTATAGATTGCCGAGGTTATTTTTTCCCTGTAAAAGTTCATAAACAGAATAGTTGTATCTTGATTATAAAAATAGTGTAAATTATACGATTTCCTGTGAGTCTTATTAAAACTAGTATTATTCCCTTTGCAAATGCACTTGGAGTAAAAAGCATCACATTTTATTGAATAATAAAACAAAAATAATCGTTATACTTCATAAAGCAGAATATGCTGCATTGTATAGTTGTTTTTCCACCGCAGAAGTTTATAAGCAGGATAGTTATATGTTGTTTATAAAAAGTGTGAATTATACTCCACTATTGTCAAAACTAAAGTAAACCCCACATAAATTTTACTAGAAATAGATATACTTATATATTTTTCCCTGGAATAAGAGCAATTTATATGAACTTCCCTAAATTTTGTTGAAATTTCATTCATTCTCAAAGTATATACAGATAAATATTTAAAAAAAAAAAGAATTGAGGTCTGTATAATGTCCATACAATTCATAGGCTTGTATGATTTTTTTTAAAACTTTCTGGAGGGGTTTGTATCTGGTTTGAAAACAGAATAAACATCCTTGTAATTTTATCAAAATTCAAGGATGCTCATGAAATTTACATTTTATTTTCAAGTAAAAGCGGTGGATATTTTTAAAATAGGTCTCCAAGAAATTCCAACAAAATTTAGGAGATGTCCATGCAAATCAAGTATCAAAGAGAAATAAGACATTCCATGGAAGCTGGAACTTGGAATTTGGAATTAAAGAGTTGGAGAAATCATACACATGGTTACCTTCAAATCTCCTGAATGAGCTTGGTAGATTGTCATATTAAGGTCTCCCATGATGTCTACATACTCATAGGATCCTTTGTATATATTAGAAAGCTTTGGTATACTTACTGCTCCATAGGAAAAGGTCGTCATCTTTGGGCATTTTTCAATTACCATTTCTTCGCAGAAGGGAAGTTCAAAGTCTACACTTTCTGAGCAAAAACATTTGAGACTGGGAAGGTGACGAAGCTCCAACCTGTTCAGCAACGGAAACAATATCTCAGCTTTATTTGCTCCTTCGGATTCTTCTTCAGCTTCCTTCATTACTATCTCCTCCATCATTTGACAACCGTATACACGAAGGTGTTGTAGTTGGACAAGACTTTTGGCCATAGAAGGTGACAGTATACCCTTCAAATTGCCACAGTATTCAACCTTCAATATTCTCAGCTTCTGGAAGTCCAAAATCTCTTCATGATTTTTCCATATGCGAATCAGCTTAGGCAGAAAACGCAAGTTCATGACTTCTAGCTCATAGTGTATCATGCTATGCCTCTTCTTTTTGTTTATTCCTTCTGATTCAAACACTTCAATCAGTGAACCACAGTCTTTTACAACGAGGTTCTTCAGATTCTGAAACAAGTGTATCACATTGGATGGGACTAGAGTCAGTAAACTTTGAAATTTTTCAATAGTCATCTCTGTTTCTTTCATAAAGTAGCTAAGCATGCCTTGTTCCTGCTTGAGCCAGCCAAGATTCTCTGATGTTTGAAAAGCTAACTGCAAAACCCACATCCACGTGTTAACAAAAAAAAATTTTTTTTTAATTAATCCCAATAAAAATGATAATTGAAGAAAATTGAAGAGTTCTGAAGAAATTCTTGTGGGGACATGAGCTACTACGAAGGTACCAATACAAGAATAAAATTTAAGCAATTAAAGCGCTTGAATCTTGCAATGTTATGCTTAAGGATATGTAGCTTTCAAGTGCTTAAGTTATCGCTTTTGGCTAGAACAAACCTCTGAGTAGCCATAACCCCATAAGAATTGCTCCCCCGTTGCTTCCTTTAGAATTTTAATTAGATGATGAAAAAGAAAGCCTAACAAATACAAATTTTATAGATGAGAAAGGACGCAAAGAACTGGGCTTACAATTCCTTTGGAAAGTTGAGCAGTGGTGTTCAGATCTCCCATCCATATGACTTTGGTAAGGTTTCCAACTTTCATGGTAATACCTTTTAGCTTTGGAGTATTTGGAAATCCATATGAGAATACCTCCATCCTATGGCAATTTCCAAAACACACTTCTTGCAGTAACGGGAAATCCAAGTCATAGGAACCATGGCAGAAGGCTTCAAGTTTGGACAGGCGTTCAAGTTTCAGACGCTTCAATCTAGGGAACACAATCCTGAAAAAGCTTGCATGAATTTCTTCTTTTGATACTATTTCCTTTATGTTCTCACAATCACATATCTCTAGCTCCTGCAGATGCACAAGACTTGCTGAGGATGATGCAGAGAACAAACAGCTAATTTTTTTGCATTCCTTTATCCCTAGGTAAGTTAGATGTGAAAACCAAAAGCAGCCTAGAGAAGGAGCATTCCTTATCATTCTCTGTTCATCATTAGCAACCTACAAAATGAAGATGTTGTTGTAATATTTTATCTGTCATTCAACTATGACAAAACAGAAATCAACTATCATATTTACTTTATGCTAAAATAACTTTTGAATTATTTGTTAAATGTAACAATTAACCATCTAAACTTTCTTGCTGTCACGGCGTCTCACTGCAAAATAGCTTTGACTTTAATATAGTCGAGGATTGATAAATAATATAAGACATACGGGCGCAATAGATAAGTGCATATTTTATAGTTAAATAGGAATATATTTTGAATTATATTTGATTAAATTTATAAATATTTTATACCTATCTAATTGATTTTATATATATTTTCCTCTGTACACACTCAATTATAGGATAAAAAGTATTTTTGCTACAAAATCTACTTATGTTCAATTTTTATTTTGCAGCCAAAATTATCAAACAAAGAAAATATGGAAAGAAGAAAATCAGAACAGGAAAAGAAAGAACGGAAGAAACAAAACAAAATCAGTTAAAAGTCCCCATTTAAAAATTTTATTAGCAAGATTAGGACATTTTAAGAACAACAATCACTACTATTGCGAAGACATAAAGAGTGAAGTTTAGTCATCCCATGTTGATCGAAAACAAAATAAAAGTTTTGTCATCCCATTAGGTGAAATTCAATCCCCAATCCCCATCGATTGGATCAACGTTTATTGCTTCTCTTGTTTAGTTTCTATAAATTTTGATTTTCATTTAATTACTATCTTGTGTTGTAACTAAATTTAATTGGATTGGTAAAACTCAGCCTCCCTGTGGGTTCAACATCAAAATACTCCAGCTAATTTACTACTACAATCCCATATGCTTATGGCACCGATCACCTATGTAAAATTTTGAGAAAATCATATTGGAGACGCTTGTACATTTTTTCAGTTTTCATTTTTCCCCCCTCTTAATTTAATTTTTAATTTGGCTCTATTAACATTGTTAACCCTTACATAGTCACTAAAAATGCTAATAGAACAAAGTTACAAGAGCTTTTGGTGCTGAAAAAGTAAAATTAAATGATTTAATTAAGAAAAAAAAACACATAGGTACCAAAGTAAAAATTGAGAGAAAATATAGGTACCTCTAATATGGTTTTCCCAAATTTATGGATAAATGTATATTTAACCATTCAAGATAAAATCATACTGTGAAAGAAACAAGAAATAAATGAACATTTAGCTATTCTACCTGATCTTGTTGATGATGGCCGTTGCCTCTGTGTTTCCTTAAAGATGGCTGCTCAGGAATACAAGGTTGGTGGCAGAAGCTCACAAGATTTGGCAGATGGCTTAAAGTAAGAGACTGTACTTGATCAAATGAGGTCAGGTCTGTTGTCCACTCTCCATTCTTGATGATAACTTCTAGCACGCTGCAGTTAATAATGTTGATGCTCTTCAGGGATGGAAACTCTAACACAAATGAATCTTTGGAGATGGATGTTGCATGATTTGGTAATGCATTCTCAAAAACTTCAAGAGAGTTTGCAGAAGAAAATTCGACTGAGCCATCTTCGCTTTTGACTAGTTGCTCCACCATCCTACAGTTTGAAATCTTCACATCTTGCAATTTCACAAGAAGCTTTGCTATGGAATGAGAAAACAGATATCTTAAATTCTGACAAGCTTCTAAACTTAGCAGCGTGAGGTTGTTGAAGCCGGTGATTTCCACTGGACTTGTCAACATGGGCACCAGTTTTACTATACAGTTTGCACTAGCCTTGGAATGCTGGTTTTGTTCAAGCTGGAATATAGCATCTAATGAATCCCAGCCTTTGACTTGAAGTTGTTCCAGATTTGGCATGTAGGTCCTCATTTCTTCCCTAGTATATTTTTCCTTGGCATGAGTAGATATATGGTCCCTCGTCAAATTAGCCTGAAGAGAAATTTAGTAAGGTCAAACGAGAGACTAATGTCAGAAAATGGTAAAAAGGAGAGTGTGTCTAGAGATACATATTTCTTGTCTCAGCCCCCCCCCCAATCAATATTGCATAGGGTATTTGTTAGAGAGATAAATATGGAAAATAAACTGTCAGACTTCTTTAGTAGGTTATGAGATAACAATTCCTTGAGCTTTGAACGTATAGCTGCAGACTTGATTGATAAGAACAGAAACAGAGAGACAAGTATACACATTTGATTAATTAGATGATACCTGGTTGCTGATCTCTCCTGCTCCTGAAATTTGATTTGGCCATTGAGTTGGAAATCTTAATGTTTGATGGGGTGCATCCAAGACAACAAGGGAGAAACCTAGGAGTGCTGAAACCAACATCCTGGAGGGTAGAATCTGAAAAGGAGTTGCTGAGATTCTCTTGCTTTGCTAGGTCTTGAATTGGCATTGAAGATGTCTTCAGCTGGGGACAACCTTCAATGCATAAATATCTCAGACATGGCCAGGCTAGCTCATAACAATCTGGACAAATGCTCACAAGGTTTGGGAGATCCTTAAGTGTCAAAGAATCTAACTTGGCGAACAGAAGAGTTTCCACTATCCCTTGTTCTCCTCCATCATCATCCGCAACAACTTTCTCCATCAACTGGCAACTGTGTATCTCCAGCTTCTGAAGCTTTGCGAGTGTTCTGGCAATGGTGGGAATGAAGATACTTCTTAAGGCATCACATTTCTTAACTTTGAGTGATCTCAAGTTCTGAAAGCCTTGAACATAACTTGGAACATTACTCCAAATATGTCTTAGCTTGCTAAGCCAAGATATCTCTATTTCTTTGAGCTGAGAAAATAGCATAGGAACTGGCTGGCCTTCCATTTCCGACTGTTTCAAGTCAAAGACAGTATCTAACAAAGAGCACTCAAGTAATAAGATTTTCTCCAATTTTGGGAATTGGGGCATCCACTTGGATTCAAATAGTGTACCGCCAATGTGAACGGATGCGTCAGCTCCTAATATTGAGTTGGACCCTAGCAGATGTTGACCATCTTCAAGCTTCTGTTCTTGAACCTGTAAAAATCCATTGCATGGCTCATTTACATCACCAATTTTATGAGATATGACTTCACTCAGAAACTTTATGGAATAAGATCAAACGAATCAACTTAACTCGCTAACTCATTGGCTAGGTGGCTTAGCCCATTTGAACCTTTTTTTTTTCTTTTGTGTACAATAATTTATGCAGGGGTTCGAGCTCAACCCAAGCCACGGGCAATGTACTTGAACAGCTCCTCCTAGATAATATCAATGTTGAGCAAGGCAAAACCTACATTATACCCTTAGGTATTAACTTAGGCACTCCCGTTCTAGGATCCTTCCCTAGACGCCACAATGGGGAATCGAACCCCTCCCCTTTGGGTAGAAGGGTGTGATTCTTGCCACTAAACCCACGAACAATGGGTGAATATTGGTTTTTTTTTTAAGAACCTCAAATATAAATAATATCTCCTGAGTTAATACACCAAATATTAGAAACATAATCCTAAATTAAATTTAAAAAATATCTTAAATTCCATGATTCTTTATTCCAATTTCTTGATTTTTTTTTATGATAAAACGATTTCTACGAGACAACATCTATAACTTCTTGAAGTTTAAAACAGTAAAATGACATAAGACATTTGAATGCTTTCTTTTTGCTATGACAATATGTTAGAAAATTAGATGTTTGAACCATTTTTGTTAATCTTTAATTTTTCTGATAAGTTAAACCAATTAATGTACTTAATGTACTAGATAAGTCAAATTTGGATTTCCAACTCATCAGATTAAAGTAAGTTAAATGAGTCATCCCATTTTAACCCATAATCTATGATAAGTTCACTTATTTAACTCATCTAACTTTTCTTAATGGCTTTAGGCTCAGCACACTGTACTTTGTATTATTTAACTCACACACACACACACACACACGCTTCCTAATCATGCAACCAAAGAAAACTAAGTTATTACACAAAAGAATTTGTCATTTCTGTTAATGTCATTTAAATCAAACGTATGGATTTAAAAAAAGGAAACAATTCAGTGGTATGGTAATTAATGTGAATCATAAATTCAATATATGAGACTCATAATCTTACATCTATATTAATTAGTATTTGTAATCATTTAGGAAGGATAAAAGTAATCAACATGACATATTTCTGCAAAACCAATGACGAATTCTTTTCATGCACCATACAAACTGGCTTGCATATACAAGATGCGAAATATCATATGTGGAAGATAGGCAACAAAGTGGTAATTAATAGGAAGAAGCATACCTGGGATTTTAAGAGATGAAGCTCATTGTTATGATCCGGTATAGCGAACCCAACAAGGCTTGGAAGTTCTTGTAGCTTCAGTTCCACTAGATTTGTGAACTTGATCACTGAATTCCCATCATGGATTTGTTTGGAGAAAATACATTCAATCCCATAGCATTCAGTCACATGCAAGCGTTGAAGCATCCCAACACTTGACTTCTGAGATGGTGAAAAGACATACTTCAACTTGTTGCAGAATTCTACTTTCAGATCACTCAAGCTGCCAAGGCATTGGCGACTAGAGGTGAAACTCTCAACATGGCATATCTCCCTTAAATTGTCCAAATTGTGCAGAGACAATGATTGAACCAGTGGGAAGACACAACTTGAAGCATAGACAGTTTCATCTGTTAAGTACTTCAGATCATTGCAGAATTCAATGCTGAGATCTTTTAAGTGCGGAAAACCTTCTTCATCCAACTCATAGATCACGTTTTCTAATTGTTTTACATCCACAAGGTTGAGAATTTCAGATTTCTTAAGCAACTGTTGAATTGCCATATTCTCTTTAATATCCTTATGGTACACACCATTTAGTTTAAGGATGTTAGGGTGTAGATATCCTCGACGACCAAAGCCATGAGAAAGAGTAGTTGAGTCTCTCACATAGATCCAGAACTTAACCAAGCTTTTTAACTCCAAATCCAAAATATGAATTCCTGTTATTGAAATCTCAAGAACTTTTAGCTGATGAGAAAGAGATTTGAGGTCTGCAAGAATGGAATTCTTTTCCTCCCAATGGAAATTCCTGACTCTAAGATAAAGTTCTTCTAAGTTAGATAAGCTAGCTAGGACCCCGGAAGACATCTGATCAAGATCATTGCATTCTGTCAAATCCAACAGTCTTAGAAGGCTTAGTTTGCCTATTTCTGCTGGCAATTCTTTGATATTTGAGTGGGCCAAGCTTAACACTTCCAGTTTCCTTAGCTCCTTACAGATTACCGATATGTCTCCAACCTGACAATCTTCCAACCGTAAGGTACAGAGGTTGTTGAGTAATCGGAATGGAGATGACACCGATGGAATGCACAGATTGCTTATGCCTAAAACCGTTAGCTTGCTCATGTTATGGAAGAAATTTTCTGAAATGGGTTCTCTTCTCTTTAAATAAACTTGTAAAAGTCTAAGGTTTGGACACTGCAAACGCTTAGGATGCATCTTAATCTCATCAAACACAAGTGAGATTGCACTATGATGCCATATGAGCTCCTTTGACCCCGTCTGTCCAGCATCGTATTTCACTGCAAATCCATGCTCTTCTTTGGATCCAATTGTTATGACAGTATCACGAACGACATCATGCATTTTCACACACTCTTCCTCATTGCTGTCCAGCAACAAAAACCGCTTCTTTAGAGTATCAACCAAGGTATGCACTCGATTCCTTGCTTTACACAAAGCACCCAGATCCTTGAACAAACCCAAGCCCACTCCATATCTGAGAAGAACTTCAATAGGAATGTCAAAGTCTTCTGGGAATAAGGAACAAAGCAAAAGGAGAAACTTAGCTTCTTCGTTGCCTAGAAAGTTATAGCTCAATTCAATACATGAATATATAGAATATTCTTGCATCTCTGAGAAGGAAGTTAGTGAAGACTTTCTCAGCTGATCAAGTGCATCCTCCCATGCATGCTTCTCCTTGTTCCCTAGTGCTTTTGCTATTGTGACAATAGCAATTGGCAAACCCCTACATTCATTTGCAACCTCTTTTGCTATGTTATGAATCTCAGCTTTGTCCGCAACATGACCACCTACTGTATCCCTGAAGAGATCCCATGCTTCTTCTTTAGAGAGAACGGGCATAGTGAAGTTCCTCTGACTTATCATCCTGTGGCACACATCTTCATTTCTTGATGTGAATAAAATTTTGCAGCCCTTGTGACACTGCCCATTTGAAGGAAGCCCTATCAACTCAAAATCCAGCTCTGTCCATACATCATCCAGCACTACGAGGACCTTATTGATCTTGTTAAGCCTCTCAAGTAGTTGAGCTGCCCTTCCTTGTAGAGTTTCCTTATCAAATTTCAAGCCTAATGTGTCACCAATTTGACCTTGAATCCTTCTATAGTCAGGAACTTGGGACACTATAGCCATTGAAATTTCATCAAACACCTTATCTGCTTCCAAAATTTTGATGAGCTCTTTCACCAATGTGGTTTTCCCCACACCACCCATCCCACAAACGCTTAACCTGTTGAACTCATCACCCTTCAATTTCTCTACAACCTCGGCCATAATTGATTCTCTTGAGGCAAAGCTCTTAATTCCTTCTGTGAACGTGGATCCTAGTGTCGGTAAAGGTGCAGGGTAGGATATGAAGTCAAATTTTTGCTCCTTCAGGGAAACAAGATCTTGCGCCATTTTTCCTGCTTTCTTGCTCAGTGAATAACGAAACACCAAATTTGGACACAACCCATTGAGGCATTTCTTGTTCTTGTTGACAAACTCATCATCGTACACTTTACGTAATTCATTTTCTACAACGTTGTCCACTTTGTAGAGCCAGTGTTCAACATTTGGAGCAATGTGATGTCCATTCCTTCTGTCTGCGTCCACCATTCCTTCAATCGCACGCTTCCTGTCTTTCAAATTGTTGAGTTCTTTCTTCATTTTATTGATATTTTTCTCACAGTGAATCAGATGTTTGAATTGCGATGTGACTGGATCCATTAACATCTCCCCAAGTTTTGACACAATTCCTGTCCCCATTGCCACCAGAAACTCCATTTTGCTTTAGCCTGAGCTCACGTATGCTTGTCACCCTGCTCTATTCACTATTAAGCCAAGCCCATCCCCCATCCCCCCCCCCCCAAAAAAAAAAGGCAAAATCAATTCTGAGGTTTCAAGCAATTTATTAGGATGTGGTTCGCTGTGGATTAAAGTTATTATAGACTAACGGTTACTTTTTTCACCAAATTCTCTCTCTACGGAAAAATTGATGTTCTGGTTGTATGCAAAACTTTTATTTAAAAAAAAAAGGTCATCATAAAAAATAATCGAGACAAAACTTCTCTCACATATTTATAAAATCATTTAGGGTTTGTTTGGTTTTCTATTTTTAAAATACCTTCTGGTTAAAAAAAAATGCTTGAAAACATGTTTTTAATTATATGTTATGAAAAACAAAAAAAGTTAAAATTTATTTTCAAAAAAAAATAGAACGTTTTTTATGCTTTGTTATTTTTTTTCCTACAAAATTAGAGAAAAGATATATAATAAAAAGGTTAAGGTACGTTCAGTACATGCAACACCCTAAAAATATTTTTTTTTTTCAGATGCACCCATTAAAAGAGCGTTTTGCATGAGAAATTGTATGATGAGTACAAGCCTAAAAGAAGAGCCCAATCTCAAAAAAAACCAGCCTATTATGAGGGACAACCTCTTGACCTTATAAACCACCCAACACATGTAAAATTCAATTATATGAGACTTATGACATATTGCCCATTTGCTTGTTACTTAGAATTAAATAAATTCATATAGGTAAGATTGGGGAATATTAATATTATGGGAGGAGGTTCGTATTCTCTAATCTCAACTAACAAGCAATTTCTCATACTAATCTTCTTTTAATAAATTTTTTCAATCTCAATCTAAAACCTCATCTTTCATTCTTAATGTTTCATAGCAAATGGAACTATAAAGTAAACTTTTCTTCATAAGGAGAAACTTGAATTATACGCTTTTCCAACCACATCACTCATAAAGAATCTGGCCTTAGCTTCATCCATTATGCTCATCAGCCTTGTTTTCCATAGATTTATTTTCTCAATATCCACCAAATAAATTTTCCCATATCATGCATCAAAGCCATATCCCCAGATATCCAACAATATAGTGAAACGGAAAGCAAAAGACTATATACTCCTCATACTCCTTTAGTCCTTAATATAAGACCTAATTGTTGAGTTGATTTTAGTCCTAAACATAAGATCTATTTCTCATATTTATCAATTTTTCCTAAATTATTTTTTTAAAATTACCTGTATAGATATTTCCTCAACTATAATCAAGTAGAAAAAGGAAAGGGATATTAGAAAAATGATTATGGTATTTTAAAAAAAATATGTCATATTTCTTATATTAGAATGAAAAGTTTATTGGCTCCAGCTGAATTTAATCAAATGAACTTGCACGCCAGACCCTAAGCCGAAAGATAACACGCGTAATAGATATGGCAATCTTGAATTCACAGAAGCGTTCATGTGTGTGTGTGTGTGTGTGTGTAAAAGCTTACCACTGTACGTGCTGGAGCTGAAGATCTGGGACAGACACAGCAGAAACAAACGCCTCAAACTGATTCCAACAACGACCTAGGAGAACCAAAAGGCCGGCTAGAAGTTAATTGACGATGTTCTTTGAAATTTCAGAAAATGCCAAAAAAGCTTGTACATTGAGAGTCAAAGTTGACAGCTAACATATATTTTTAATGGAGTCTTGATTAAATAACATATCTTCTTCCTTCCTCGTTACTGCTAATAGTCAGTCTTTTGTCGTATTAGCTACACGTGGCAAAAAAATGGTCTCAGAAATCAATATACATACACACGCAAACATTGTATCAACTGCTTTGCTTCCAAGAAAGTCTGTTTGTAGGTTTCCTTTAATTTTTTAATTTAATTCTGAGGATTATTTCGGTGTATATTATGTGAGTAGTTATTGACCTAGCTGTAGCTCTTCTCTCTCCTCCAGATCTCGTATGCGTCAATTGTAAGATTCAGGAATGCTATCGAAGAAACAGTTCATAAATTCTTACATATGTATATTTAGTAAGTAGATATATCATGCATGTTCATGCACAGATCTCTGTAAAGAAACATGTTCGCCTTCCATTAACCACTCACATATTGCTTTCAGATCCAAAGAAGATAAACCCAAATCAATCTCAGTGCAAAGATGATGACCACAGACAGATATTATATATAAATCTTCCAAACAATCCTTCTTCTCTTTCTGTCCTTACAAAATTATTGGTTAAAAAAGATAGTCAAACTTCGTGAGAAACAAGCCAGAAGGATACAAGGTAGCTTGCTTACTGGGTCTAGGGAATATATATAAATAGATATATATGTTGCAATATACTACCTCCGATCCTAATTATAAGACCCAGTTGACTAATTTGAGGAGATTAAGGAAATAAGTTAAGTTAGTTATTTGTAACAAATAAGTGTTGTCATTCCTAAAATATCCTTGCTAATTAAGTGTGTTGGTTAGAACTATCATTATTAGAAGGACTATCTTGGAAAAAAATGCATAAATATGAGAGACAAAATGGATTGGGGTCTTATAATTAGGACCAAACTAAAAGTCAAACGGGGTTTTATATTAAGGACCGGAGGTAGTAGTATACGGCAAAGAAGGAATTCTTAATCAAAGCAATCACACATTTGAAAGGGCCCCATTGATATTGAAACTTTGATCACCTCTCCTGGCTGGAATTTTTCAAACAAAAGCGACCTGAAGTGCTATACCACGAACTGGCGAGGAAATTAAGACAAGAAGAACGAGACGGAGGAGGGATGTTTTAGCATATTACTCCTCTGGTTTTTAATATAGGACATAATTATTGAGTTGATCTTAATCATAAATATAAGACCTATTTATCACATTTATCAATTTTTTTAAATTACTCCTATTAATACTCCATCAACCATAATTAAGTAGGAGAGGGATAGAGAATATTACGGAAGATGATTATTGTATTTTTTGAAAAACATGTCATATTTCTTATAATTAACTAATTTATCTAACTTCTTTAATCTAATCAAATTAGTTAAATATGTCTTATATTATGAACCAAATGACTATATTATATTATAACCTTGTAAATTTTAAGCCGTAGGGTCCTTAATTAATTGACGTCCTTAATTAAGTATTTTTATTATTAAATTAATAAGTAAACAATGTCCGTTGATGGCTAATCGTGTAATTCTGGAATAACTTTTCATTAGACAAAACAAGGGATATTCATTCAAAAACTAGAACAGGAGGGATATATATATATATATATAGTTCTACTCCCCTTAATCCTTAATATAAGAGCTTCTTTGATTTTTATTTTGATCCTAAATATATGACCTTAATCAATTTTGTCTCTCATATTTATCTATTTTTTCCAAGATAGTCCCCGTAATATTCGTTCAAAAACTAGAACAGGAGGGATATATGTAGTTATACTTCCATTGATCCCTAATAAGAGTTTTTTTATTTTTATTTTGGTCTTAAATATATAACCTTAATCCACTTTGTCTCTCATATTTATCTATTTTTTTCAAAATAGTCCCCGTAATAATGGTACCTTTAGCCAATACTCTTGATTAATAGGGATATTTTAGTAAAGATAATACTTACAAATAACTAACTCAACTAATTTTTTTAATCTATTTAAATCAGTAAACTAACTCTTATATCAAGGATTGAAAGTAACAGGAAGAAAAAAAGAAAGAGGGGGAAACCACAAATAAAGACCCTCGAATTAGCCGAATCACTCTATGATCACCTGAATATGCTAAATTACTATGAGGGGCCCGGTCTCAAATTGTAATTATGAAATCATGGCCAAATTACCAAAATACCCCTCTTTAATTTTTTTTTTTTTAAAAGAAAGCCACTGCCTCACCGGAATCCGGCCACCGGCGCCGAAGCTCCGGCGGCCGCTTCCGGCCACTGTCAGCGGCCGGACGCCGGGGTCCGGCCGCCGGAGCTCCGGTGCCGGCGGCCGCTTCCGGCAGTCTTCCTTGATTTTTTTTTTGAAACTGTTTTTTTTTTAAATTGGGGGGAAGTGAGGTTGGGGGGATTTGATCCCCCAACCTAATGCTTCCCAAAATAAGGAATGACCATTGAGCCAACAAATTTTTGTTAACATTATGATGCAAAAAAAATATAAGTTAACTCATTTACTCTTGTTCCAGGTGATAACAATAATACATTTGGAAATAACAAGTTCTGATTGTAAAATAACACGTCTGAAATAAAAATTTAACAATATGTTTTTTTTATAACAATAAATTTTGTTGCAGGCAATAACAACAATACATTTAAAAATAACAAGTTCTGATTATAAAATAACAAGTTTGGGATTAAAATTTAATAACACGTTTTTTTTATAATAACACATTTTATTTCAAGTGATAACAACAATACATTTAAAATAACAAGTTCTGATTATAAGATAATAAGTCTGGGATTAAAATTAACAACATGTTTTTTTATAACAACACACTTTGTTTCAAGTGATAACAACAATACATTTGGAAATAACAAGTTCTGATTATAAAATAACAAGTCTGGAATTAAAATTCAACAGCACCTTTTTTTATAACAATTAATTATTTATACTTTTGGAAAATTATTTATAACTTATAAAAAGTACTTGTAATCTATTTAATTTGCTAAAAAAATAATTTTTATCTCCAATTTATAATCAGAACTTGAAGTATAATTTTTTATAGATTAAAAATACTTTTTTATTGTTCAAATTTATAAATAAAATTTAGGGAAAATGGCAACACACTTTTTTAATTTTTTTAAAAAATTTTAATCTATATATCTATACAAATTATTATAAATCAAACTACTTCTTATAAATTATAAATAGTACAATTTATTGTGGATTAAAAATACTTTTTGACTGCTTAAATTATAAATGAAATTTATCTCTAATTTATAATTAAAATACTATTTTATTCTTTAAATATAAAAACTATTTTTAATATTTAAAGAATGAA